CCTCGACTCACTACCCCGGCCGCCCCGCCCCGTCCCGCCCGCGGTGGGCAGATACCTACACACAATTCCACGCGCGTTTGTGTATTATCGTGGCTTCTTCACACCCGGCCCGGCCCGGCCCGACTCCGTGATGCGGAGCGAACCGGGGGACCGACTGACGGAGAACGGGTCGGACGTCTCAATTTCTCATCCCGGGACGTTCATTAACAACCTCCTGGTTTCCTTAGAATGAAGCAAAGGTAAAGCTGGCATAGTTCCCCGTGATTGTTCGGCGGGTGCCGGCGAGACCACCGGACCGCCATGAAATCCTCTCGGCTCTCGGTCGGGAAACGGGTGATCATCACGGCTTTCACAGAAGGGGTGCAAGAATATTTTTTTTCCGCGGGGGTGGGGAGGAATTTCACCTCGCAACGGCTACCTGTCTATGCCAGGGGCGGCCCTGTCGGCACCGGGGCAGCCTGGGAGCTTTCTTTCCACGAAGTGACGCGGACATGTGGAGGACTCACACTGCAGGGTTGTTAACGATATTTTATCGTGTAACGACGATACGACGATATCGATACGATTTTTGTATCGATATCGTAACGCGTTACTTTTTCGGCCGACGGTGTATCGTAACGCGATACGATATGGAGGACACGTAACGTCGTAACGTCGATACGATACAAGCGATTTTACAGTCGGACAGGAAATCACAAGGAAAAAGGGAAAACTTTGACGAACTCGAGCACATCTGAGGAGAAACTTCTCAGATTTTAAGATCTTTTCTAAAAATTTGGCAAGTTCCTCGGCTCCGTCTGAGGATACTTCCTTAGAATCTAAAGAGAATGCCTTCAAATATGGGAGTTCCTCAGATTTTTTCCATTTTCCTCCCAAAAATCAGACATTGCGTTGACTGGATAGCGCAATACCACCAATGTTCTTGTTTTAAAGCTCTCTTTCTGTTTGAGACCGTATCGTAACGACGTTACGACGATATACCGTAACGTAACGCGTTACATTTCTGATCAGAGGTGTATAGTATCGCGATACGATAACTCGGAGTGAATGTTATCGTAACGTATCGCGATACATTTTTTTTGTATCGTTAACAACCCTGGACTGAGGCCAACGGCAGGGAAATGGACTATGGTAATGGGGAGGAAGTTATAAAAGTCATATAGCTAGCGAGGGAGCCGCGCGCGTCGCCCTGGAAGATCCACGCCCCGCTCGGTCCCGTCCGCGCCGTTCAACACTTTCGTTCTGTTGATCGTCTCGACCCCGGACCCGACCCGACCCGGCTCGGAGGTACAATATTATTTCTCTGCTTCATTCTGTCTGTCCCTTCCCCTACCCCCCCCCCCCCCCCCTTCAGCCTCTCACTCCGACCGACCGTGCCTTTTTATTATCATTTGGAGTGTAAAGGCGTTCACAACCGCCGCTGCCCCCGCTGCACCTCGGCGACCACCGCTGCTCCAGCCACATCCCGTTCAGCCCCTACCCTGCCCTGCCCCCCTTCGGCCAGGTTCCATCGCAATCAATTGGGCACGGTGCTTGTGCGGCCCAAGGTGGGGGGAGCCCATGGGGCGGTCGTGAGGGGCATGGCCTGGGCATGGCCGGCGGGGCCGGCGGGGCGACCAGGACCTTGACTCGCGGCCCCGGCCCCCGCCCGGGTGGCCCACGGAGGGAGGGACACGTGGGGTGGTCGCGGGAGCGGAAGTCAAGTGACCACGACGACTCGAACAGTACTTTTTTAACGTTGCGATTTCGAAACCTTGGCATGACCATTGCACAGGCTTAACAACAGCTCGAGATAAAGGTCCTTGCAAGGTCTCTTTTAACTCTGTCAACGTCTAAGTTTAGTTAGTTATAATGTTGTGCCAGGTGGTAGCGCCTGACTGACGTCAGGCAGCCCATCTTACACGCTTACATGCGGTACATTGTAGCTACGGCTGAACGCGGAATTTTTCAGCACTCTGGTGGATTGAACGTGGGAGAGATCCCAGAGCAGTGGCTCAAACTGATTGCTAACCAAGCGCTCTTGTTGCAGGCGGTGAAGACCAACATGCAGGTGCGTTGCAAGTGCCACGGCGTGTCGGGGTCGTGCGAGCTGCGGACGTGCTGGCGGGCGGCGCCCGACTTCCGCACGGTGGGCTCGGCGCTCAAGGAGCGCTTCCAGGCGGCCGTCCTCGTGGACCAGAGCAACCTGGGCGGCGGCCACCCGCTGCTGCGTGACAACCGCGCCCGCAACCGCGCCAACAGGCGCCCACCCTCGGCACCCGCGGAGGACGATGACGCCGACGACGGTGGCGACGACACCATCGGCGGCGACGTGACCAACAACAGGCCGTACCGGCAGCGGCCCAAGCGGCGGCCGCGGCCGCGCCGCCGGCCCGCGCGCGACCTCTCCCTAGACCTCCTGTACCTGCAGCGCTCGCCCAACTTCTGCGACAAGGACGCGTCCGTGGGCTTCCCCGGCACGGCGGGCCGGCGCTGCGAGCGCGACCCCCTGGCCGCGGGCGCCGACCCCGCCGAGGCGTGCGACTCGCTGTGCTGCGGCCGCGGGTACAACCTGGTGCGCGCCAACCACACGCGCCGGTGCCAGTGCTCCTTCATGTGGTGCTGCCAGGTCAAGTGCGAGACCTGCACCGTGGACGAGTGGGTGGCCGTGTGCAAGTAGCAGCGGGCAGCGCTCCGGCGCGCCGTGGAGGTAGGCAGCCCATTCGACGGCCCGGACCGGCGGCCTGGCCCACCCCGCCCCTGCCTCCTGTGCAGCAAACCAAAGCATCAGGGAGGTCCACTTGGTGGCCCGACAGATCCCTGGACCACAGCAGTCTAAGTCAAGAGTGAACCGATCACTTCAATGTTTAAAGCAAATAGATGAAAGGCGGGGAATCTATCCTTAAACCACCCCCACTTGGTTTACATGGCCACAATGGCATTCATTTAAAAATTACCTGTGGGCCAGTCAAGAACCTCTCTCTTTTCATCTTTGAATCATTTGTAAAATATTATGAAGTGTAATTGAGATTATTGCTATAACCCTGTCATGAATTATTTATTGGCAAACCTCTTGCTCTAATTTACCATTTTATTTATGAATTAAGATAAAATTGTTAAATATTCTGTTAGTTTTACTAATAACGGCTTCCATGACATGTAATTTACCCATGATGATGAACTGTGATGGATATGATGTGAAATAAAACCATATCTTCAAACACAATGTTTACTAATCTAATACTGGAATGTACAATTAATACACTGATCACACATTCAAGCAGAGAGAATTACAATGGATGAGACTGATCTGATAATTAATGAATTGAGAAGTCTTCAGTTGTGTTTGATTTACTATTTTTGTGCTTTTGTCTGACAATATACAATTATTTACACAAAACTGGTTTCATTGAAGTTCGCATAGCTTGCACTCTGATGGACGACAAAAGTTTACAACACCAAAAGGCCTAAATCAGAAACTTACTTTTTAACTGTCCAGAATAAGATGACAAGACATTTAATGGTTGAAAAAAATGAGCACAAAGATAGGAAGATCAACAATGTGAGCAGAATGCATAATCTCTCACGCAGTTGGGCAATTCTCCTTGATTTACAATTTCTTTGATAAAATGTCAGGGGTACTGTACAAAAGAAACACCGCCAATAACAAACCATAAATTCAACAATGCAATGCAATAAATTTCTATACCTTAATCTCCACTCTTCAATAATAATTTCATGATATGGGATTTATTAATACAATTTTTCCCTAAAAGCTGTTTCATCAGTTTGTGGTAACTTTAATGTATTTCTCTTTAAAAATTATGGCTGCAAATGCTTGCATAAAATAGAAGTACTCCAAATAAGTACGTACATATAACCTGTATGACTGGCAAAAAAAAATGCTGAAATGCAACAGAATAAAAATACACAGCACTACAAGATAAAGCTGTGCACAATGCATTCAAAGCCAACATTTCTCCAAAGTTCTCTCTTTATACAGAATTAAATGCTCAAGAATGGCTAGTGATAAAATTCGAGCATTCTCTGTTCTAGAGAATAATCATTATTTTAATTTTAAATGATCTTATCATTGAATTTAACAAATTAACAGATAGAATAAAACCATGATATTTTCATCATACAGAAAGTTTCTTCACAAAAAAAGACTGTTCCTTTAAAACTGAATCTTAAAATGCCAAATCCAGTTTGGGTTCAATCATTATCAATTGCAAAAGTAAGTGGTTTGCAATCAATGTTCAAAGGTAGATGGATTACAGGATCGGGATATAGTTATCAATTTTGGCACGGTGCCTTTGAGCCACACATTCTGAAATCCACACAATGTTCCTGCATTCCTGCTCCTTCAGTTTCAAGTAGGAGTAGAATACACCAAAGTGGAATTGCTGCAGGAAGGCATTCACATTGAGACGAACCTGGTAAAAGCAAGGATTAATGTTAAGACAGTTTTTAACAAATTCGTGAATGTCAAGATAAAAAAAGTAAGTTTATACCTCATGTTCAAAAAATTTATCTTCGAGTGTCTTTTCTCCAGGGTTATTTCCAGCACCATCAAAGAGAGCACGGTATTCCTGAAATTATAAAGATCCCACCATGTTATTAGTAAGTACTGTATCCTTAAGTGTAGCAGAAAGTATTCTACAAGCCAATATAGTCAGATAAAATAATAAGTATTAGAAAACAAAATTAATCTTACAGCATAGTATTCAGCAATTGACTTGACTTGTTCATAATCATCAGCTCTGGCAAGAGCAGCAAGACCATCAGGGTGCAAGTTACCACATCGTGGATACAATTTAGCACGATCATCTTTTGTGAGCTCGGTGCCAAAGGAGTTGATGGTGATGATGATTGCACGGCGATCAGCTTCAAACTATGGAGACAAACAAAAAGTATTGAGAATTGCTTAAAAGATAGATAGATGACTTGATTAAATGAAAAAGAAACTTACTGCAAGGATTTCACACATAACATCGGCAGTTGTTCCACCCAGCTCCCTGCAGAAGGTGTAGAAGGCCTCAAGGTATGCCTTGTAGAGGGTGTTTCGGATGATTTCAATGTTCATCTCATCCAAATCTTGTTCACTAATGCAATCCACAAAGAATGGAGCTGTATAATGGAATGAATGGTTGATGATTAATGAGTGGCCTTTATAAGAATTAATAACAAACAAAAATAGAAAAATCAACCAAACAAACAATAGGCTCACCTAGTGGAGTATCAACAAGAACTGCGTTGTACAACTCAGCAGGAGTTGCCGCCACATGGATGGCCTCCATCTGCTCAAAGCTTCCCAAAGGATGGCACTTGGGGATAAGTTCATTAATGGGACGTTGGTGCAGCGTTCCAGTGATCAAAAGAATGATGTTGTCAATCATGTAACTGTACCTGTAAAATTCAAATTTTAAAATTTAAAGTATTTCTCTACAGCAGGTTTAGAACAGAATTTACGTTGATAACTCACGTAATGAAATCAAGGAAAGTTGACAATGGTTCCACAGCATGGTTCCGAAGATGCTGGAACTCCACAACAAGCTTCTCACGAAGCTTGTCATCAATGACAGAGACAGAGAGGGGACTTGGTTCGTTGGCTAAAAAGCTACCATAGTCTGTTCCCTGAAGATGGAGCTTCAGGTCTGGAAATCAAAATCCCAAAAGGTAATGCTCTACTTAGATGTCATGTGACACTAGTCATACCTAATCAAATAGATAAGGTCATTAAGTGGTGCTTTTCTTCAAAACTTAAGTGAACTCTTCAAAACAGTAATAATTTACAGAAGCCTTGACATCAATAAAAGAATCATTCCTAGACATTTGATGAAAAGATGTGTCAAAATATGGGCAGAGCTGTCACAAGAAAAACATGACTACAAGGCCTAATTACAAGAAGGCACGAGATTAAATGAAATTAATCTACGATAGAAAGTAAAAGGAGCATTTAGACCTCGGATCATCTCAAATTTTGAAATAGAAAACAACATATACCATTTTTATGTTTTGACATAACCTATCGGGGCAGTTCACTCACCTTCAAGAGTTTCGCATTGCACTAAATTTAGATAGTCCGTGTGACGCAAAATTCCACACTTGAAACCTCGACACAACCCCTCCAAATATCCACCATCGATATTAAACAAACAGCCCTTCATTTTGGAGGGCGTTAGATCAGAAAATACTTCGCTGAGGGCCGAAGCTTTTCCAATCCCTGATCATATGATCAAGACGATGTGTGACGTCACGTGACGTCTGCCACTGCCGCCCTCAGGAACTTCTGTCTGTCACGAGGCCAAGGACAAAGTATAATGTTTCCATGAAAATTAGTGTTAGGCAATTTTAAAGACAATTTCTTTTCATAGAATTGGAAGTATCCTCTATAGAATGACAAATATCGCTTGAGTCGCCTACAAACATGCGAAATGAATGGAATAAAATCGACTGGTGCGCTACCTATCGGAGGGCATTGCAAACAACAGCCTGAACTTTAGCCTACTCCGTGCGTGCACACATTCAAGGATTGAATGAATGAATCGTGGAAATCCAAATAAGTCTGTTATGACATTGATGACGATGATAACGGTCTAGTCGTGTGCCTGTTGCTGCACGACCCGGTGGGTAGAAGTTCTTAGACTAGGGAAGAGGAAGTGCAAGATTGACCTACAACATTCAGCTGATCAGTACCCAGTTAGTGAACCGCAAGCCGCAAGCGTGATTTTCAAAAAATAATTCTCCCCTTGTCTTAAAAATGGTAATGAGCAAATGACTATCTTAACCTGAGTTACTGTTGCACTACCTTTAACATTGTTGGTAGAATCGTTCTGTGTTGTGACATTTTTACATCTGCTAAAATTCCTTAAACGCCCTTTGTCATTATTAAGGATATTAATTGTTGTTGCCATATGTAATTTCAGTATTTTAATATTAAGAGACTTATTCTTGGTTTAACATTTGGCACTCTTCTTCATTACAGAATCTCTGTCATCGGTTATCATCTACTGTTAGACAAGTGGCGAAGTCCTCAATCAAACGCGTTCCTGCTATCTCATCAGTGCCAAACATGCTGCAAAATAGAGGCTTGGCTGGAGAGTCGGAACCAGAAGTCCTTGGTCAGGATGTTGGCAACAAAGGAGTTCTCATTTTTAATAGACCTAAAGCTCTAAATTCTTTGAACTTGAATATGGTCCAGTTAACTAATGACATTTTGACAAGGTGGGAGAAAACTAAAACCTTCGTGATTTCTAAAGGAAGTGGGGGCAAAGCATACTGTGCCGGAGGTGATGTTAAGGCAATCACTACTAACAAAGACACTAGCTATGGAAAGAACCTGTTTCGTACTGAGTATTTGACAAATTGTCTTATTGCAACCTATACAATCCCATACATAGCTTTGATAGATGGTGTTGTCATGGGTGGTGGTCTGGGTATGTCTATTCATGGCCATTATCGTGTTGCAACTGAAAAGACCTTGAGTGCTATGCCTGAAACTGCTATAGGCTTATTTCCTGATGTTGGAGCCAGTTACTTTCTTTCTCGTTTAAAAGGTAAACTGGGAATATATTTGGCTCTCACTGGATATAGGCTGAAGGGGCCTGATAATCTGTTTGTTGGATTTGCTACTCACTATTGCCCAAGTGCTGAGTTACCTAAACTTGAAAAGGATCTTCTAGCATCAGATAACCCACGAGAAATTCTTAAACCATATGAGAAGGCTCCTGAAGGCTCACAGTTTAGTTTAGAGCCCTTTGTAGAGAAAATTGATTATATCTTCTCAGCTCCTACAATGGAAGCCATTATAGAAAGGCTGGAGAAAGATGGATCCGAATGGGCAAATACTACATTAGCCACATTAAGAAAGTTCTCACCTCTATCACTTAAGGTAACATTAAAAGAACTACAGCTTGGTTCTCAACTTAATTTACAAGAATGTTTTAAGATGGAGTACCGTTTGGCATGGAGATCTACAGAGGGGCACGATTTCATTGAAGGTAGATTTAGAACGATTTAGTATAATTCTTGAGTTATTTTTATCTTCCTATCTGTTATTAAAGTCTTTGTTGATTAGGTGTCAGAGCATTGCTGGTCGACAAAGACCAGAATCCGAAGTGGAATCCCTCTACCCTTGAAGGGGTGTCTCAGAAGATGGTTGATGACTTTTTCGCTCCATTGGACCCTGAAAATGAGCTTAAAGTAAGTTATTTTTTGTTATTTGTTTTTTGCTCTTAAGCTACTTCCTGCTGCTTTCTTCTTGTTTATAAAAATTTATCAATCGTGTTTTTTTTTCCAGCCTCGAAGTGGACCAAAGAGCTCACTGTAAAAATAGAAATTGTTATGTTTGGATACTTTGTAATGTCTAAGTATGAAATATTTTTGCCTTTTAAATCTTTTCTATTGTGCTATGAGTCATGATTTTCTTTTTAATACATTTGTTATGGATCAATCTGAAGTCTTCAGAGACAGTTATTTATGGTGTTGAAAAGGGTGCAATGTCTCACAGTGGGCACATGTGATATCTCAGTACAAATAAGCCTATCTATCCCCCTGTGCCACTTGTCTTAGGAAAACATTAAATCATAAAACTCTTTAAAAAATTTATTGTTATTTTGAATGTAAAGTTATTCGTAGTTTCGAATCACTTTAACACCATCAGCTTCTTCAAAGATTAAATCGTTGCGAGCTGGATAAACGATTTGAAGAATTCCTGCAGAGTCCACAACCTTAACTTGCTCTACTGTGAGAACGTTTTTCTTGTCAGGACTTTCATCATTCAATGGCATTTGACTTATGCCTAGACGTACACACTCCAGCAATAAAGTATTCATCACTTTTTTGCAAGAGTCCAAAGATGCAGAGCTTGTCACTTCCACAAGCATTTCTTTGGAATTCACAGACATCTAGAACAAAAAGAGAATGACTTTGAAAGATTAAGATGCCTCTCAACATTTAAATGGACAATCTGAATAAATCACACACCTTGGTAATATTACTGTTGGTTAAAGGGGGGAAAGAAATGACTTTATCGCTCCCGTCAATCAAGAATGGGAACAATGGTTGTCCCTCTAGAAGATATAGAAACCTGAGGAAAAATCATGGTGTAAAAACAAAATTGCAATTCTTATTAAGATTGGTGAGTTAAGTTTGTTAGATAAGTTCTACTCACTTATGAATTCCAGAGAATCTGTTTCTCTTTTTGTCTTGCATGACTGACTGAGCATGACTTTTTAGTCTTGCATACACAACTGAAGCAAGAGTATCTTTACTGCTTCCTAGAGGCTGCAGTTTCACTTGATCTGGAGCCCTTGCTACATATTTCAGCGAACCAGGAGATAACGCAGCTAGATCATGAGTAGCAATGGTTGCTGCTTGGCGTTTATTACAGATCGTGTCATGTAAATTATTCTGGAATTCAGAAGATAAATTAAATGCTGTTGAATAGAAAATAAGAGTGGTTCCTTGTATGATCAACTCAAAATTTCAGATCTCATCACTAATTTTTCATTTTATTTTTTATTTATTTTTTACTAGCAATGAAATAAAATCTGAACTCACACCAAATCTGAGCCCTACATCTCTAAGGGTTTGGAAGGTATCAATTCCACAGGTAAAAATTGTGGCAAGTAATGGGAATAAGAGTGAAACTTGGGCTGTATCACTTTAAGATAAATAACAGATAAATGATAACAGATCCATTGCATAAAGGTTAATTGTACTGTTTGGTCCTGGTTAATGCCACTAAAGTAGTATTTATTGCAAACTATGTCAACTGAATCATTTTCAAAATGACAGAGATCAGGGAAAACCAGTTTAAGATAGACCTGTTACTTGTTATTTCTCTTATGGTGAAACAACTTTGGTGAATATTTGCAGTAAGATAAAATTTGACTACACCATTGAAAAGAGAATCAAACATAGATTCTCATTCATCTTCTGAAATCAATGTAATTTTTTCTCCAACTTTTCACTAAAGATCGTCATTAAATTTTGTCAACCTTCTTTCCATCACAATTGGATAACATCAATAATTGTTGCCAAACTTTGTTTACAACTTCCTCTAAGGGCCCTTTGTACTCTCTAATTTTGGTAAACTATACATTTTTAATGACTTTTTTTCTAGTAGTTTCGCTATGTTACTAACTTGAAAAAATCACTTCTAAAAAATGGATTATAGTTGCCTTTCCACAAAAGTTACACAGAGTGAAGGGGCCTTAAAGCAGTTATGTTTGAACCTAGTTTGGTAACCATCAGACACCATCTAAATTGTGTTAGAAAGGTTTTGGTGTGTAAACTTTAATTCACACCTTCAATTGCAAGTTGGGGAAAAAATTCTAATTTTTTTAGTATCTGGTTTAGAGTTAGATGTAACTCGAGTTAGATTATACTTTGAATGATGGAATCAGATTTTATCTTACTGCAAATATTCACAAAGTTCCATTCTTACACCTATTAACACCTTCAGTCCCAGGGAGGGGTCCCCTTTTACATGCTATTATGGCCAACACACTTGTGGTTGTGGTCATGAGCAACTCTTCGTGTTAAAAGCCACAGTTTTGACCTCAAGGCTTTAGTAATTTGTAACTCCCAAACCATTTCGGCTATAGGGCTCCGAGGAGTCTGATTTGATGCGGGATTAAAGTCCATTAATACATTTCATTTGCAGGGCAAATCAAAATTGGTTAACAGATCCCAATCTTGAGTTAATCAGACAAAGAATCACTCATAAGGACAACACTACATCTATGATTCAAACATTACCTGCATTTTGATGAATTTCTTAAAGTTATCAGGTGTAAAACTAAGTCCCCTGACAATACAACAAACAATGTATGCTCGAACACTTTTCACCTCTTTGTCAATTGTAATAACTGGAGTGGTATCCGTGACATGCAGAACATTGATTTTGTTGCATAGGTCATCCACCTAAAACAAAATAAAACTCTGGAAACATCTAATTTATTTATTTTTTCAGAAAAGTTAAAGTAATAGTTTACAAACCTCGTTTTTTTCCTCATTATTTCCTGTAAGGTCAGATTCACTTGCATTGGACTTTCTTTGACCTTTTTTACCTTTTGAAGTATTCTTGGAGGATGCAGAATCTCTTTTACAATGCTGTCGAATATATTCCAAAACTTGCTTAGGGTGGCACTGCAGTACCATTTTCCCTAGCCTCTTGTCAGCCAAAGGATTTCCCTTTAGATTTAGCTCTGTGAATCAGAGAAAGCAGACAAATTTTGTGTTAGATAGATACTATGCACTTTGTAAAAAAGAAAGATTTAGAAGACACTGTAAATGATTAATAGAACAGATTACCCTTCAGCTTGGAAATGTCTGCCAATTCACCAGGAACATCCTTAATTTTATTTTCAGATAAGTCAAGGAGCTTTAGAGCAGGAAGAACATTGATATTGTGGGGAATTCCTTTAATATTATTAGAACCCAGTCTTATTTCAGATAAATGGCATAATTTATCACAACAGACATCAGGAAAATCTTCAAAGGCGTTGTTCGACAAATCTAAGATGGTGAGCCAAGAATTCTTTAGTAGACTTGGAAAAGATGCCAGTTTGTTGAAGGATGCATTGAGTGAATATAAGGCTGAGAGGTCAGCAACTTCTTCAGGAAATCTTTCTAATTGATTTCTGGACACGTCCAGATTCTTCAACTTTGACAGTTTGCCCAGAGAAGAGGTTAAGGTTTTGATCTTATTTGAATGTAAAACCAGAGTAGACAGATTCTGCAAGTTGCTGATGGTGTCTGGCACCTCTTCCATGCACGTTTCAGAGACTCTTAAAAAATTAAGACCTGTCAAACTGAATAAAGCTGAGTCTATGCCATATTTCGCTATTCTGTCCGAAATTGTGGGTCCGGACAGAATCAGTTCGTGCCGGTTTTCTTCTTTGGCGGTGATGATCTCACTCCAACCGCTGCCCGACATGGCGAACGATAACTTTCAAACCCTGCGTCGTTGAGAGAGCGTTGCTTAATGTCTTACAAAATCAATCAATGAACGATCTTAGCTCATGACACAACGTGGTAACGCACGCAACTCAGGTGAAAAACGTTTCAATTCATCGGAGGAGGAGGGGGTATTTTTGTTGATGCCCCAGCGCGCAGCGGTAATCACACGAACTACTTCTCGCGCGGGTCTTTCAAGCCGTACCGCGTTGGTGTAAGCGCCCGTAGCCGTAGACGTGCCTGAGACCTTTATTCGATACGTTTTTCAGACAGCGAAGTCGACTTTTAGAGCGCAGGGGGATTGTCGACAGGCTGAACGAGGGAGGGTAGTCTGCCGACCACCACCTTGACCCTGACGATGAAGCGACCGTCCTTGTCGATGAGGTGCTGGAAGGACGCACCGTCCACCCTCAGCACTTTCCCGTCATTCACGGCCTCGTCCACCTCCTCGCCGGTGGCCTCAGACCAGGAGCTCAGCTTGAAGGAACCGTCCCTGCTGCCGACGGAGACCTGGAGAGCACGAAGGTAGGGCTGACTGACTGACCTGACTGACAGTCCAGACCGACAGGGGACATGGATCTCGACCTGACGTACAGTACCTTATACCGGAAGAGTTTACAGTTGTCGGGCGGCCCGATGTATTGAAGAGCAGACTGCAGCACCACGAGCTTGGCGTCGAAACGCAAGTGGAAGCGAAAGAGAGCGCGCGGCTGCAGGCTCTCCTCGGCCATGTCCACGCTGCTGCTCTTCTTCTTATCCCTGTTCTTGTTGTTCTCGAGCTCCTCTGTACTTTTTACGACTGTCTCTACGAGAAGCAATGACTTGGCTACTCGATTTACACCACCGTCCATGTGACTTATCTGCAGGGAGACAATCGGAAAAATTAGCCATCAAGTAAGACGGTGAGCAGGAGTTAGTAGGGCCTGGTAGGACACCCAGGAAGGTCTTAACAGTTTGCTGAAGTCCGGTACCTCGAAAGGCTTTGTGCGGCTGTACGTGTAGCTGAGGTCAGTCTTCTGGTTGAGGGTCACCAGGGCGGTGTCGGTGGCGTGGTCCTTCAGAGTGTGCTGCAGCAGATCGTCTAGCGTCCCCTGTGAAAAAGACGACTCACTCACCAGTCGCAAGCTGAGGGCCGAGCAGCTTTAATCCTGGCGCGCCGCCGTGGCCCTCGGGAGCTCAGGTCTTTACCGTCCACGGGGTGCAGCGCACGTTGGGACAGGGGTACTCGCGGTGGCGGCAGCGCTCTTCGTGCCGGGCCTTGTCGGCGAGGCGCAGGAGCGCGCGGCAGCCCCGGTAGCGGCAAGGGAGCCGCACGGCCAGGGCGATGGCGTTGAGCGTGGCGTTGGTGGCGGCCAGGAAGGCCCCGCGGCACGTCGGGCACCTCGCGAGGCGCGCCTCGCAGCCCGCGCACACCGAGTGGCCGTACTCGCACTGGCGGATGGGCGGCGCCATGGGCAGGTAGCACACAGGGCACTCGAGTCTGCTGAGCAGCACCCGGTGCAGCTCGTCCGAGGCGCCGCCGAAGTGCTCCGCCTGCTCCGCCCGCTCCGCCCGGGGCCCGGCGGGCCTGGCCGCCTCCACCGGGCGCACCCCGTCGTCCTCCTCGCACTGGGCGGCGTCCAGCGAGCAGGTGGACGTCGACGCGCACCTGGAGGCGCCGAGTGTCGCCGAGGACGACGGCGATGGCGGTGTCGGGGGAGAGAAGCCCACTGGCGCCCCGGTGTCTGCCCGAGCTCGCCTATGGTGGAGGCCAGGAAGAAGAGCGTGAGGTTGGTGGCGTGCGGTCTGAGGCCGGCGTGGTGTCGAGACCCTCCTCCCTTACCGCCGTCGGAAGCTGAAGCGATGGAGGAGGCCGCGCTTGGCCTCCTGCACGCCGCCAAGCTCCGCCCGCTCCTGCTCCGCCATGCCGCCGCTGACAGACTGCCCGACAGGCCGCACGCGGACCCGCGGCACAGACCTTGCTAATCAGCAGGCTGGCCCGCCAGGCAAGGCCGCCCGACCCTCACACCTCTGTCCTAAACCCAGAGAGAAAATTACTCTTGAATAATACCTTTGGGGTTGATTCTTCCCGCGCGCACTTCTGTCGTCGTGTACCGGATACCTACACTGTAAAATTGGGCGTTCGGCGAGGGCGCGCCCTAGGCAGTTGGTGGGAGGACGCCTTAGGCGTTCTACCAGAGCACGATTTTGGCGTTCTCTCATAGCACATCTTGGGTAAAAAGAATGGCATTCGAGTAGTAATACCGTACCCTGATCAAACGGATCCAGATCAAATGCACCCCCCCCCC